GGGAGGGGGAGGAGAAGAGGGGGAGAGGGAGAGGGAGAGGGAAACATCAATTGGTTGGACCAGGATGGAACCCCAACCTGGGCATGTGCCCTGACGAGGAATCACACCTGTCACCTTTCTAGGCACCGGATGACGCGCCAACCAACCAGCCGCTGGCCGGGCTGCAAAGGCGTTTTGATTTCACTGTGGAGGCGTCTGACACCAGAGTGAGCAGATGCCAACCCGCCGCCCGCCCCGTCCCCTTGCTCCCCGGGGAGGGCGTCAGCTCCACATCCACCCACAGACTCAGGCCGGGATGGCTCACACGTGAGCCCGGCTCCGCACCATCACAGACCGAGGAGCAGGACACCCTGACCTCAGCAAACGACAGGAGACAAGAGAGGACCCAGGGGCGGCCTCAGCACTGGGCGGTTTAAAAACAGGCTGGAGACAACAGAAGACAGAACTGCCCAACCTGAAGGTGGGTCAGTACCAACGTCCACGCTCAGCTCAGAGGGAAAGGTGCAGCGAGAGCATGGGGACACGTGACACACCCTCAGACATGTGACCCGAGGCCAGAGAGGAGCAGGAGCCACATCTGGGAGATAATGGGGAGCACTTTCCACAGTCGATGGGAGTCTCTAACCACGCCCGGACGGTGACCCTTGTGCCTGGACGGTGACCCTGACACCCGGACGGTGACCCTGACGCCCGGACGGTGACCCTCACACCCGGACAGTGACCCTGACGCCCGGACGGTGACCCTGACGCCCGGACGGTGACCCTCACGCCCGGACAGTGACCCTCACTCCCGGACGGTGACCCTCACACCCGGACGGTGACCCTTGTGCCCGGACGGTGACCCTGACGCCCGGACAGTGACCCTCACTCCCGGACGGTGACCCTCACACCCGGACGGTGACCCTTGTGCCCGGACGGTGACCCTGACGCCCGGACAGTGACCCTCACTCCCGGACGGTGACCCTCACACCCGGACGGTGACCCTTGTGCCCGGACGGTGACCCTGACGCCCGGACAGTGACCCTCACTCCCGGACGGTGACCCTCACACCCGGACGGTGACCCTTGTGCCCGGACGGTGACCCTGACGCCCGGACAGTGACCCTCACTCCCGGACGGTGACCCTCACACCCGGACGGTGACCCTTGTGCCCGGACGGTGACCCTGACGCCCGGACAGTGACCCTCACTCCCGGACGGTGACCCTCACACCCGGACGGTGACCCTTGTGCCCGGACGGTGACCCTGACGCCCGGACAGTGACCCTCACTCCCGGACGGTGACCCTCACACCCGGACGGTGACCCTTGTGCCCGGACGGTGACCCTGACGCCCGGACAGTGACCCTCACTCCCGGACGGTGACCCTCACACCCGGACGGTGACCCTTGTGCCCGGACGGTGACCCTGACGCCCGGACAGTGACCCTCACTCCCGGACGGTGACCCTCACACCCGGACGGTGACCCTTGTGCCCGGACGGTGACCCTGACGCCCGGACAGTGACCCTCACTCCCGGACGGTGACCCTCACACCCGGACGGTGACCCTTGTGCCCGGACGGTGACCCTGACGCCCGGAGCACGCCCAGCGATTCAGGCCCAGCCCAGGCGCCGCCCCACGGAGGCTGGCTCATGTGCTTGGCACAGAGGCTACAGCCGGCACCGAAAGCCCGTGCTGAGGTGGAAATTACAGCAAATGACTGTTTTTTAAAGTGAAAAATGGCGCCTCAGGCCTCGGTCTGACACGAGGGGCTCAGAAGTCCCTGTTCCATGTCAACCACAAGCGAAGCCGAGCAAACTGGGGCCCACATGGTTAGATCCTCAGAGCAGGGGCCGGCACAGCCCTCTCTGGGG